ATGTAGTTTAATTTGCAGTAGTTTTATAGTGCTATCCAAAATATGGAAATCATAATTGACTTTGGCACTTTGAAGCAAAGTTTGTGCTAATAAATGTGTATTTTTTTAATAAATGTTTAAATTGCAGTGAAGAAAAACTATAATTAAATGCATGAGATTAATTTTTTGTTCAATGTATTGATTGTTATTTAAAATATTATTTTTTAAATTAAATTATCCCAAAATTTTGAGTTAAACTTTCCAGTTAAAAAGTCACAATATTTTGAAAAGTCTTAGCAGCTAAATATATTCTGCGGATTTTCGCAGTTCTGAATAAAAGTTTTTATTATTTTAATGCAGTGAGTAATACTTAAACTTATAAATTTTGTTTCTTATATTTTCTAATTAAATTAAATTGGTTATTTCAATAATTTGACCTACTCAATAATAAGTACTACTCAGTAATCAGAATTTTTTGAACTGTTTCACGATTCTACAGTACTCTGCAAGGACTTCTTTATTATATTGCTTTATTGGAGTTATTATTATTACTATTAGAATATCTTACAGATATACTAATAGTTATCCCATTATAATATGTACAATATGTTTTACCTGAAATGATTCTATCATATATTATTTCTCCTTTGTTAAATTACAATTAATTTCATTTCAAATTACTTTTCCACTCGTTTTTACCTCTTACTTTCATTCATACAAATTTATTCAATTAATGATATCCTTGAAAATTGTCCATCATTAATAATATACCACTTTTAATTTTACTTTCTTCTTCCTCAAAAAGTAATCAAGAGTAAAGCATTACTCAAAAAGGTGTCCTATCACAAATGCCCACCGCATATACACAATAATTTCACCTGCTGTGACACGACGGCAAATGTCAAAGGTCACATAGGTGCAACAAAAACTTCTGATACCATGCTTTTCGAAATTTGATAAACTAATTATTGATTGCAATTAAAGGTAAAAATGAATCAAGTATAAGGATATGATTTTTACTATGCACAACATTCAGTAATAATTACAATGGTGCTGAATGAAGAAAAGTGATGGTCAAGAACAATTGACCTTTCCTCCTCCATCTGTTGCGCATCTTTGCAAGACTGAGTTGTAAAGAGATTTATGGTACTATCAAACAGTTGTTAACTTTTGTCCATAAATCTGTGTTTTCGCGCACTCACATCGTGTTAGCTGAAATTGTAAACATACAAGTATTATTAGCAAAGAGGATTATAAACAGCAGAAATTCATCTAAATAATTGTATTTCATTGTAATTATTTCATTTTGTTGATCTCTTTATCCTTTTCTGCGGTATATATACATTTTTGATACTGTAGCTCAAGGTTGAAGGTCACAGACAATATTATTATAATCTAATGAAGAAGTAATGAGGTGGACCAGGTGCAATATTTACAAATACAGTAATAAAAAATTCATTGATGTTTCTTTGGACAGTTATCATGCACTAAGATGTACTAAATAAAAATTAATCACTTAGTTTAATCCTTTATTTTAATCTTAAATTTTTGACAAATAAAAATCCGTTATTTGTATTAAGATATTTTGAAATTTTTTTGCAAACTATTAAAACAAAACAAAGTTTTATCAAATTTTGCAAACATTTTAAATTTTTTAAATTAGCACAATTTCAAAAAATTTATAATTTTTGAGTGCATATACAGTATTTACAGATTCATTTTTAAATGTTTCTCTGAGCTTTCAATTTTTATAAACTTTGATTTGCATAATTTGTTATGAAGTATTAATATTTCAAGTGATAAAGACTATATAAAAAAGTGATAACTATCAAAATATTCAAAGTTGAAATAAAAATATCACTGATATCAAATAAATATTAAATATTAACAAAAAAGTATAATAAATGGTTGAAATTGTTTGCAGCAAAAATGACCCATCAGAGATCATATTATAATATCATCAACTCGTTTAAAATTAATAAAATAACAAGTGAAGTTAGTAATGATAATGTTATCGTCTTGGAGCAAAATCTAACTTATTATTCAAATATTTATGATATTGTAAGGATAGAAAGCAATGACAAATAATTTGCATGCGATCATCAGCTTATTCATTAGCTTTCTTGTGACTTCTACTTCTCCTTCAAACTTATTTTCGATATCTGTTAACTATGAAAAAAATGCTCTGACTAACAATCCACGTCATATATTATTTTATCCATTTGTCTATTCATAGGTAAAAGTTTGATGACATTAACATATTTCTTGGAAACAAATACTAAAACGATAACAAAGTATGAAGCTGATTACTTCACTTTCAAGCTTTATTAGAAACTTTAAATTGCTTTTATCTATACGTTAATTATAATTTTTTATTACCAATGATATTATCGTTATTATCACATCTTTAGTATTATCATAATCAACGCCATTTTTATTGTTGTTATCATCGCTATTTTGTCACTTTTATACTTCAGTTTCAAAATAATTGATCATGATGCTGACACTAATGACAAAAATTCATATATGAATTTTGCAAATTTATTGTGAATATATAATGATTAAGCATAAAATAATGACAGTCACAAAGATATAATTCATATAAAAATGAAATGATAATAATAATTAGCAAAAGTCTGATTCAAAAAATGATTACTACAGTAGCACGGCTTATATATTATTAATAACAATAGAAGTAAGGAACGATATTACAACAGTTATATCGCTTCTTACTTGTGATAATCATAACTAAAGAATGATATAAGTTAGTTAAAGATAATCTAATTTGTAATCCAAATTAATAATATAGTATTAAAAATGAAGTCAATTGATACTCCCTGAACTGAAATTAATCTTTGAAAAAATTTCACATTCGCAAAAAACTCAGGATGGCCTTTTGAACTATTGATTGATTAGATACTTGCAAAATAATCAGCTTCATACTTAAAACCATTGACAGAAAGCAAAATATAGCTTTAATCACAAATGCAAGCAAAAAAGTGCCAGTAAAAAGTCTCGAAAACGTGCAAGCGGGGCAAATTTACGCTAGATGCGCAGCAATTCCCATGTTTGCCATTAATTTTTGATGATTTTGCGTTGATTGAAGTTAGCTGTTCTCGAGAATTGGTTTCCGAACTGCTCGCATTTCAATGCAATGAATTCATTGCTAAAATTTTTTATCACTCTGTGATTGTGAATTTATTTGAGATCTATTAGTATAAGCTGTAGCTGTACAACACAAATACTTTATTATACATAAAATAAATGCAATAATCGTAATTTGTTTTTTTTACATTGTAATAATTTACTGATTTTATATCGTTTGTTTTTATTTTTTCTTCAAAAAAAATCTTTTTATTCAATTAAAATTTTTGCAGCAATTATTAATACTGTTAATGTTGAGATCACAAGAATCCTACCCTATTAAATAAGCTGAACTCAATAGAATCGTTAGCATTATGATGATTGATGAAGTTGGCTAATCTTATGAATTTTGAGAATCATTTCCAGTACAAGTTAATATGAAGAAGAGGAAATGTTAGTGTAAACAATGCTATCAAAATGAATTGCATAGTTAATAACGTCTAATTATTGGCTGAAGAATATTATTACTTACTTCAAAGTTATAATATAATATACAAAATTTGCATATTTTATATTAGACATTTTTACTCGAATTAAAAAATGATAAGTAATAGGAATAGTATGTATATTTATTACAAATGTTATAATTGATTACTTGAATATTTATTAATTCAAATAATAAAGATAAAGCAGTGAAATTGTTTTTGCTAATAACAATTACTATAGAATAGCTTAAATAAATTTACAAAAATTTGCATAAATTTTTCTTCATAATTTGTTGTTATTTTTGAATCTTTATCTATAAAGCAAATTTAAACATATGTTAATTTTTTAAGCTAAAAATAATCAACAACGTTTGTAACTTATTCATTCACCTAATGTTTAATTAATCCAATCAAAAATTAAAAAAATAGTCATACTAATTTTTTGTGGTCATTTTAATTCTTCACATGGTCAACGGGCATTGTACTAACTGAAAGAAAACAGTTTTGTAGTAATGGACAAAACATTTTCTAAGAATTTTCAAAGTTGTAGCAATCACTAAACAGTCGTTACTGTGTTATCTATTTATCATCTATGCTTCTTAATTAGCAATACAATTCTGAACTAATTTGAGACAATAGTTAGTATTGTGAATAAGATTGGTAGTTTAAGGAAGAATGTGTTGAAGTCTTAGAACTGAAATAAAAACGATTATTTTCAGATATTATTATTTTAGAATTAATTAATAATCAACAAAATTATGCAAGAAAATGATAATTTTATCAGTAAAAAAAATAATAAACAAAAAAAAAGCAAAAATATGTAAATTATTTTTGTGTCACAGTTTGAGGCTATTTTTTGGTACTTTTTCTGAAATAAAAATAAGTCACAGAAAGAGTAAGTAGGAGAATGCCTATGCCATTTAAGGACAAGAAGGCAGTCGAGGAACGCCTACTTTAGCTTGTGTTTCCCATCAAGGTTCATTTTCACATTACTATTCCAGCTTGAAGCATACATGTATATTTTCATTCCTTACCAAATTACTTACTCACTTACGTATTGCCTTCAATTATTCACGTATCTGTTATCACGTGGATAACCTTGTTAGTCAACAAATAGAATTGAATTTGGTCTTAGACTAAATATTCTAGCAAATACTTTGTTTTGATATAAAAATCTAAACTGAATGCAAGTTTTTAATTTTACTACTTAAAATACTTACTAAAAATTAGTACATATTTATTTTTCATACCAATATTATATAATAGAATACATTATGGCAAATAATATTTCACACAATATATTCACTATTAATAATTGTGAATCACATTATAAAGTTAGACCAACCTCTTTTTTCAATTTCAAAGGAATCTAAGCAGAAAATAACAAAATTTGTTATCGTTTTTTGGAGATTTCAGACAATTGCCAAATGTGTGAGAGAGTAAACGTTGAATATGAAAGAAAATTCAACAAATTATTCGGTTGCTAGACTTGTTGGTTCAGATTCTGCACCAACGGGTAGTAATGGTATTAGTGGTTCATCAACTTCATTTACGGAAACATACCGAAAACCTGAAAGTAATTGCACTTTGGAAAGTAACAATAATATTCCCATTACTTTTCCATTCATGAAATTTTCACAACCAGCAGCAGTACATCAAGGTTAGTTTTGATCTAATTTTTTGTTAATACATTGTTTGATCAATAATCACTTATTCAATTTTTGTTATATTTAAAGAATTTACAATTTTATGAATTTTTCGAAGTTAAATTTAACACGTGATTTTTTTTAATCCGTGTTCTATTATACCTTAATAAACACGTAGCCTTGAAAAAAACCTAAAAGTAAACATAAACTTTAATAATAATGCTGCAGCTTTTTATAAGATTTAGAATGCTTCAAAGTTTTGAAACCATTTATTAGCATATAAATCACATTTGTGCAATCAGAACTTTGATATCTATAATATATCAAATTTGTGTGAGATATTCAAGTTGTCCAATTTACGCTAAACTTTATGTGTGAGTAGACTTTCCACGGATTGTTATTAAAATGCTGTGAACTAGTTTTAGTCCTCCTTCATTTTGCTGGCTTATATTAAGTAAAGTAAATTTTAAGATTGAGAAAATAAGTAAAGAGATAGGTTAACAATAACAAATGGCAATAAATTATTCAGAAACAAAATATGCTAGTCAGAGGAGTATAATTTGTTAGATATAAGTTATTTGCAAGCAATATTTGCCCAATCTGTGATGCTAACTTGAAATTGGATACCATTTTTAGTAAGCAATTTTTAGCTGCTTCGCAAATTATTTTTAAATTTATTTGCTGCCTATCTATTCATATTTTATGGTGGCAGATAATTTTGAATATGACTTATTATTGTAATGTATAATTTTTGTAATTTATCATTTTGTAAAAGTTGCTAATATAAACAAAGTATTTGATAGAACAATTAAATAGCTATTTTTAAATGAGAAAATGTTTTTAGCAATAATTCATACTTAGTTTTAAATATAATCTGAAAATGTATAAATCCATGTTCACAGTTGTCATAAATTATCTTGAGTTATTATAAAAAGCGTTATAATGCGCTATATAGAGTAATAATTTTGCAATTTGATGATTTTTCATCAAATACAAAGTTATCTTAAATGATCATTATTTAAGCAACAAAATTAATTTGTTTCAATAATGCAACAAACAAAATACAAAAATATGAAAAAGTCCGAATCCATTTTTTATAATATTAGCTTTTTCATTATCCTAAAAATATACCAATAAATGTTGCAATATATTTATTTCAATACTGAAATATGAAATTAATTGCTTACATAAAATTTGCATATTAATTTGCCTGCGAGAAAAATAGTGCATACGGTAGACTTTCATTGAATGCAAAATGAAGAGAACCAATGGAATTGCAGTGATTTGCTGCAATCAATGCACTGCCGCATGCACTCATGCAATTCTCATTTATTTTGCACATTCTGCCATATTATTAATTGATTATTTCATTTTTGATGGACTTATATTGACTAATATATATTCTACCGCCGAAAAATCAATTAATCAAATCAGTGATTTTAATAATTTACCTGAAAATAATTTCATATTTAATTTAGTATCTGACCATTTCAAAAATAATAATAATAATTGCTTGAGATTTAAAAAAATATAAATACTTTAAGAGATTTTTGTACAGTTCACAAAAGATTACTAGTTGCAAGCAAAATTCCAAAATATATTTGTTACGTGAAATTATTTTGTAGTTTAATTTGTAATTACTAGTAATTTGCTTAACGTTAGTTTGAAATCTAAATACATTTGAAAGAAGATATAAATAAAAGCCGGTAGATGATATAATTTCATTCATTTAATTATTTATTTTAATTGTATTTGAAAATAATAACAAGAGCAAGTAAACATTTTTATCATTTTAATCAAAACAAAGCTGAAGATAAAAAAATTAATTAATTAAAAATAAAAACATTTAAATAAATCACAGTAATTGTTTAAATTCCAAAATAAATTTGTTCATTTTACAAAACAGTATCAAACTAAAATTTTGTTCTAGGAGTTCCCATTGCACAAACGATATCACCAGGTGCATTACCTGTGCGATTATTTCATCCAGCAATAGCGAATAATCACGTTAGCACAGTTACTAACGTGAGTCAATTTGCATGGAATATGCACTTACGTCAAGTAGCGCTTAATTTGATGACTTTGCAAAGGTTACAAGCTGCTAATACTGGAAGAGAGCCAATGGCTATTTTTGAAAAACAACAAATTCATCCTTTAACTTCCGCTTCAAGTGATCGAGAACAAAATTTGCTGTCTTGTCCGAAATGCAACAAACTTTTTATTAATACATTTTTGCTTGAGGTATAATTTTTTTAATTTTCAGTCATTTTATGTTTATTTTCAAATTTATGTCAAAAATTCAGTTCTAAGATACTAGTTTGTATCTTTTTTTAAATTATATTAAAAACTTTGCATGCATTTTTTGATTTATTTTCGTTATACTAATTTTGATTGTATTATTTTAATTACAGAAATTGCTATGATTTCATGAAAATTCATATACAAAACCATAAAATTTTATTATTTCTTTCAATCTTTGATTGAGTGTTTTTTTTTTAATTTATATAATTCAAAATACAAGTTCAAATTTAACAACACAAATACAAAATGCTATGATGTAAAGAAATTTGAAATACTTGTTAATTATGCGCAGATATAGGTTTT